GGTACAAGATGATTGCAAAGACGGACGAAGCCAAAGAAGTTGGTGTCCATCACTGATTGGGTGTAGTCCAGAGGAAGATCTATGAGAGGTCCTGACAACGCGTTATTCAATTTTGACCGAAGATTGTCATCGTCGTAAGCTCTACTCACCTATCCCGGGTAACCCAGCATTGGATATAGCCACATCCATCCTCCCAGCCTGCTCATAGATCTCTTCCACCGCGTCCTTCACGGATTCGTCTGAAGTGACATCGACAAGAAGTTTCCGAATATTTGGATGCTGCAGACCATCCATGGACTTTTCAGACCGGGCGGATGCGTATACCGTACAACCTCGCTCAGCGAAGACTTGGGCTCTGGCAAAGAGGAATGTAAGTGGCTTGATGGTGGCCTTTCAGAATTTTTTTATCGAGACTCACAGAGCGGCACCAATCCCACCGACGGTGCATCCGGTAATGAAGACAATTGGAGCAGAGGAAGGCATGGACTTCGCACTATGAAGCTTTGCCAATGGTGGAAGTATAGATTGTGTCGTTCACCCCTGAGTATTCGACGTCATGTTTTGCGGTACAGAGTAATTACTTGCAATACTTAAGTACTTAGACTTAGGTTCAGTATGAGTAAGCAGGGTTAAATTACACTCGGGTTAGGTCACACAGAAGTCAAGGATCAGTCCACGCCTCTCCAAGTTTACAGTGATTATTGCGTTGAATGGAAAGGGCCAACGGCCCATTTTACGCGTTCATACGCGTTCTGGACGCGTTTTGTATGTTTTCAAGATGGTTTGGAGCCTCTTCAAGTGTTCCGACCTTGACAAAGACTCTAATGTACAATGTCTGTAGTTTGTTGCTTCTACTAGGTAAGGTCCAACATTATAGTTCCTGAGGTCATTGATCTAGCCAATCTAGCACGGACAAGTCCGACCGACGATCAGGTAGAATGGAGGGTTTCCCATTCTCGAGGACGCTCTCAAAGTCAACGATGTCGTCCACGAGGGTAAGCGAGTCCCACATGGAACTCATGGCGTCAGAGTCAGGATTGCGAGAGTATGAATGGGATGATTTTGCAGAGTATGGAAATGGTATTGGCAACGTCAATAAGCGTGCGTTAACAGATCCAATGGGACTATTGAACGAGTTTGATTGCAAATCTTCCAGAGAAGACATGGCATCTGGAGGGGAATGAATGTCATGTAGACTCCATGAGGCAGAAGGGGATTGGAAAGTCGATGCATACGGAGAAGGATTATGGTCACGATATGCGGATATGCGTAAGGGTAGTGTCTCCGGATTCAGAGATGAACTCATACTCGGATGAGGAGCATAAGCTTGTGGATGCATTTCATGCAACATTAGTACCTGCGTCTCCAGATCTGCGTCTGAGTTCCTCCGCCTGTTAGCGCCTGGAGATTGTGTTAGGATAAATGATCTTTCATCAGGAACAAGAAGTAAACATTTTGGTTGAGCTTTCTGTAAGAGTGAGAGCTCACATGAATGATCCTAAAATCGCAATCGCTCCGACTACGGTAACAGGTATCGTGTTGTTTTTGTAGCCTGCGATTGTTGAACCAATTCCCAGCACAAATATGAGGAGGTTCAGTACCCACCGCGACCTAGTCCGATACAGAGGCGCGATTAGTAGCCGGCGATGAATCCAAGGCATGAGAGAAGCTGAGGAAATTGGCAGCAAGTTGAGTTGTATAGTGACACCATACTTATATTATTGTCATCGCAAGGTAGGATGCTTTTGGACATCGAAGCTGTAACAGAATTTCCGTGAAAGTCGTGAAAAATAACAGGCGCTTATTCATGGGCCGATCGGCACCCGAGTGCCGTTACTTTCTCCGCAATTCAAAGTTCATGCTTTTCCGAGCGACAACGGACAAAGACTCGGTGAAGATGTTCACAGGTTGGCCGATATATAATAACTGGTGTTATTCCTACCACAACCAGAAGGAATAACATGTCGACCGACCATCCGCTTGGAACCCGGGTCGCTGATATACGCACCTTCCTCACAGAAGATCCTCAAAGCTGGGACATCCTATGGTACGTCTAGATCCAGCTCTCGAGTCATAAGCATAAGGCTCAAGATACAGACAGGAAAAAGAAGGTTACACCCTGGGATTCTGGCGAAATCCAGCCACCATTACGACAAGTCATCGAGAGTGGTGATGTTCCGTTCGCGAGAGGTGGAAGAGCGCTAGTTCCAGGATGCGGGAGGGTATGTCTACACCTGGACATTCTGCTCAAAATTCAATTTACTGACCAGTCTGATCAGGGATACGATACGATTTATCTTGCCTCAGCATTAGGACACGACGCTATCGGTCTAGATGCCTCTGTCACTGCTGTTGAAGCAGCGAACGAGTAAAGTTCAACTTTGTGCAGAGCTTCATTCACCACATAGCTGATTCTTCCTTAGGCTGGTGCGATCAGAATCCTCCAATCCAGAGCTAGTGTCGAAAATCCAGTTTGAAACCGCAGATTTCTTCAAGTACGAGGTTCCGGAAGATAAAAAGTTTGATTTGATTTATGACTACACGTATGTTTCAATCTGCCTTTCCGTATCCTCAATCCTTTGCTCACCAAATTCATAGCTTTTTCGTCGCTATTCCACCTTCAAAACGACTTTTATGGGGCTCCCAGATCAACTCCCTCATCAAGCCCGGAGGCTATCTCATAACCTTAATGTTTCCGCAAGTTCCGCCTCGCGATCCGCAGCCATACACCACTGGACCACCGTTTTACAGTAACTTCGCTTCCTATGAAGAGGTCTTGCGTGCCGGGGGCAGTGAATGGGAAGTGGTGCTGGATAAGATACCAGATGATGCGACGTTACTCGATGCACATAAGGGGAAGGATAGGATAGTTGTTTGGAAGCGCAGCGCGTGATACGAATACACAGGCCCGTCAAACATTTTGATAAGGCTTGTACGATGAACGGAGGTCGGCGTTGGCATTTCCTAACACAGCCTTGCGAGCCGTGTACGATTCTTGCACAGGTGACATTGAGTAACGTCCAAAGAGAACCCAAGTGCTCTCTGATCCGGTGTGAAATCCTCAAGCTTGGATAGGGTCTTTCATTGATGGAGATGAGATCAACGTCTAGCCGTTATCTTTGAAGGCGGTGTCGGAGTACCCGACGCACTCTTTGCGTTTCAACATCGTTGCGGTATTTATTTGATGGCTCTTTGCACAGGTAAACGGGAAGCTAGGAATTCTAATTATGGATGATTTTCTCCTTTAATTGATTCAAATAAACCTTGAGTCTGTTCCGAAGGCCCCCCTTTCTGGAATATCTCTGGTAGAAATTCACATCCACCTTCAACTCTCTGGCAGAGAATTCGATTCATTCAACGTTTCTTTACACGCACGCACACATACACACATACACGCGAGTTCCTCGAGAGCCATGCTCTCATCGAGTTGGATCATTGCTACGGTGTGTGTAACACTCTTCTTGATCAAAGGCAGAATACTGACAAGGACATTGGTTATTCCTAGTTCTTTGGGTTCTTCACCGTCCTCCTCAGCAGTCTCGCCGTCCTGGCTCTGCCTACAGGTCAGATTATAGTCCCATCATTTCAGGACGCGTCTTCGAACGATGCGTCCAAACATCTTGCTACGGACTTGGAACGCCGGTTTCTATCATCGCGAACGGTGCAAGCACCCATTTGTCGAAACCTGACGGCTAGTGATTTCAAGAAACGTATGTGATCATGTTTCTGAACTCTCGTTTTGTTACCTCATTCGCTCCCTACCTTCAGTCTCTGGAGCAGACAAACTCAAGGAGTTAGCCACGACGACGTGGGGCAAAGGCTTCAAGTTGAACTTCAATGACAAAGATGTGCGTAGTATCGCTTTTCAAGAACCACCTTTGCGACGACTTTGCCATCTTGTTTCCAGGAGCCAGGTTACCCCGCGCAGATTTGTGCTCAACAGCAGGTGACGATCAAGTTTTCTGGTTAGTAATCTCTCAACCAAAAAGCTCTCAGTTAGGTTGACGTCCTTTCCACAGGTTCACCAGAATGTCATACGACAAATGCCACTACACAGGGTGAACTTTCTGGAACAACTGGGTATGTACCACGCTTCAAACAGACAGCAAACACGTTAATAATGATTCTTGTCAAATGCATAATTCTCGTTTCATACTTCACTTTGTCAGCACTGTTGCTCTTGCGGTCGCACAAGGTAGCACATTGACAGCGCAGTTCACCGTCAGCTGTACGTTGTTGTCGTATAACCTCACATCTTTGCTCAGTCATTCCTAAATTGCAATCTGCAGCGGCTGCTTCGATCAGCTTATCCGACACCTACATGGCCTCCGTCAGCTTTCCTGCAATCGTCGATGTCATGGATGCATCGACCGTAAATGTGGCGATTACCAACACTCAAACAGGGAGTTTCATGACCCAACATAACGACATGACCACAATGACGCTTACGATGTCTGCAACTGAAGGAAAAACATGTACTGCTATTGTACGTCGTTTCTCGCTGGTCTCAAGCCACTGAGGTTCACAGGATATGTTCTTTTCAGGAAACCGTCAAGTCATGTACCCTTCAAGGAGTGGGGGAATTGAGGCTCGAAGCCGTAGGATGGGCTGGGTTCTACTACGGCGATCCGGTTGGGGATAAGACTGACAAAGATAAAAATAAAGAAAAGCACTACAAATGTTAGTTCTTCACAATACTGGCACGAGATGAAACTGATTGGTCGTACTCCTATAGGGTTTCTCAAGATTGAAGACCATCTAACGTCGGATGAGCGTTCAAGCGTTGTGACGTTCAATGGCCCCGTTACGACGAATACTCATGGAGGGTACAAAGGAACCTGTTCCTGATTGTATGAACTTTGTATGATTTTACGATTTGAATTTATGTATGTTGATATGTAAAACAGTAAAGAATCCACTCGATGTGTATGATTCACCGATGTCTGATATGTAAAGTATTGGACTCCCCATGTTCGTGCTATATGCTCAGGAAGGATTGGGTCCCTGTCGATTAGTGGTCAAATCATCACGTTGTGGTTGCAGTTCCGTGAAGCCGGGAGCTCGAATCTCCCCAGGGACATTTCGTGTATTCATCAACACCTTTTTGCCTCACGAAGTCCACTCTGTTCTGGCGTTTGTTCGAGAGTGAGCCTCCAGGACTACATGTTGACACAGTCAGGATGGTACTGCGGCCCACAATGGGCCAGCGTAAAAGTACTCCAGGTTACAGTGATTTCATGAGCTAAACAACTCGTTCAAAGCGCTGATTTGAATGTACCAAACCCTACGACTTACTGGACCTGCCCAAGTGTGAGTGAGTCCAATGCAATGATTTAGGAAGCTAAACAGGTCTGTAAGAAATAGACACCCTCAAAAAGTCAGACGATGGCCATCGGTAATGATTGACAGCGAGTTCACGAATTTATTTATCTCACAAAGAAGATAAAGGTAATCAGATAACTCCTTGAACGCTTCAAAGGAGTGACAATATATGTACGGTTGTATAATGCTACCTCCCGAGTTCCAGAGCTTGACTCTACCTTGTCCGTCCGCAATCAAATCCCATACAACACATTGTGAAGCATACACAAGTAATCTAATCAACTTGATGTTGCTATGTGCTCTGATTATTCCAGTCAGTGATTTTTTATGGCCACTCATCTATGCAACCTTAACCAAAGACCTTTGAGGCCATAGGAATAATTTTGTTAGCTCAGATATCTATGAAGAGACCTATAATAGTTAAGATAGCTGTAAGTATAAGGAGTATACAGTTAAGTACAATAGCTTGAACATGAATTCTAATGGTTCAGTGTTAATCGTAAGGTTGTCCAACTCCAATTATCTCAACATATCATTTGCCATTGATGGTGACACCTCTGGCCCATCATTTTGTATAACTTTTCGAATCCCCAGGATTGTTCTAGTCCCAACAATAGACTGAAATCCGATCGAGAGGTTGAAGCAAGTCTCAATGAGATTAGCCTAGCATGATGATCAGATTTTGAATCAGTGTTTCAATGTGTCTCTTCACAAACATTTCTTGCCCATATTGTCAAAAACGTTAGATAGATAGCAAACATCCTAGAATAATGTCATTCATGGAATCATATTTATCAAACAAACATAGAAGATCTTACATCAAATATGAACCAATGCAATCCTTGATTAAAACCGTTATCAGATGCTTCCCTGAAGGGATTGTGTACTCAGAGCTACCATGCTCATTACATGCAAGCTGGAAACCACGGGCTAGTGCAAGAACACACAAGAATGTATCAAATGCCAGCCTTGGGATCCAAACTGCATAGCAATAGGCTGGAAGAGTAGGTAGACAGAATGGAATTTCAGGTTGTACTGGGATGAAGTTTTGATGAGTAATTTATCTACAGAGTGTCAGGTAAACTCACCGGTGATATGACCGATGTATAGTTTAACCAAAACCAAGGCTGTGCTTCCTGAGCTCACCACAAAGCTAATGACCATCAATAGCAGAATTTTCTTGTTAAGAAAGTACAATGCATATAACCGCATTTGAAGAATTGCTGTATAATTATGTAAGAGATATCAAGAACAATTTGGTTTAGAACTAACGCACTTTCCACTAGCATACAGGTAGCGAGGCCACTCCAGCCTTGCCACTTGCCATATTGAATACCTTTTGAAAATGTTCAGTGAGATACAATTCATAGAGTGGTTAAAAATGTACATCTTTAAATAGAAGAGATTTGACATTGATGCATAAGAATCCATTCTTGATCTTTGCCAGTTCCCTCAAAGCTGCACTCACCCCTTGTTAAGGAAAAATGTCATTTTTTGGACAGGACCCACAGAATTAAGAATACTTACTGATGTTGTCAGACTTCCAAAAAGGACTGTTGTCCAGTTGATTTGTGAATATGAAGTACAACCTATCAAGAGCTTTTAAATTGCCTACCATAGTTGTTTACCCTTAACATAGAATACATTCACAAGATGTTAACCATGATGGATTATGAGTCAACTTACACAACGGTGGCAATCAATGGATAGTAACGGCTCTGTGTCAGAATTAATCGATCAAGGCTGATTAGTGAACATTGAACAAGAAACCATGCATGAAAAACTCACCATTATAAACAATGCTTTCCCAATTGACCATTGTTTTTTCTACAAAACTTAGTCAACACCATACATGCACCTACCTATCAATTGATTACCCAAATAAATTCAATCTGTGGATTTTCGATAGCATGAGTATAAATGAGTATAATTTCCTGGAGCAAAGATATTGCAAGGGACCAGCACACCTCATCATCCAGGGTAAGCACTACATCAAAAATTCAATAACTGTTAAGTTTAGTTCATTTACTGTACTGACAATAGTCATAGAATAAGAGTGCGCCTCCAGCTACTACAAGGATTCTGTCTTCAATCAAGATATTCAGGTCAGAAGGGGCTGAACAGATGCTTACAGTTTGCGTATCGGGACACATAACCATCAATTAATATCTCAGTGGAGAATGTCATTTCTACAGTTGAGGGGTTGGAGTTAAAGATGGGAAGTACCTCGGCTAGATATGCTCCTTGAGTGTTCTTATATCAGATGGCTGACTGTCCCGCCAATACACAATGTAATCGTCCTTGCCGGAAATTAACGGGAATAGTTTGTATTAACAATGTCAGATTCTTCTGATAAGTCAACTTGAAACCTGGATCGCCATCACCGCCATCGCATCGCATAGACACAAAGAGGAAAAATTTGGGGCAAAGTGATTGATCGCAGTATAGGCTAACAAATCATCAATGAAAAAGGAGTAGCGGTGATTCTCTCCGTTGGAATTTCAGCTCAAAGCTGATCCGAAGCGTAGAAAAAAACGGTGCGCAAACTGTCCCGAGTTAGATTGAGACTTACGAAAAACAAAGTATAGTGTATCGAACACTGGTCAAAGATTTTGATGTTCTCCGGACCATATTTGCCGCACTAAAGTCTGTAGGAAACACTTGTGCGGAGGACGACAATACACCGATACACTCGGCAACGGTAATCATTCGAGGTTTTGCGATGGATCCCTAACTTTGTGTCCCTCGATTGTGGAATCGGTCTGCACGCTCATCCTCTGTACCAGTCACTCTCTTGGTATCGTTTCATAGATCACAGAAATTTACCAGAAAAGGGGTCTTACACAGCGCTCAACACTTCGACATTTACAGTAATAAACTGAAAAAGTGCCAAGCCTGGTTTACCCTTGGAAGGCAACTCCAGCCTTGGACGTTTCCGCCATTCCACCGCCGGCAAACCCGGTACCTGTTCGAAGATTGAGTAAAAAGTGAAGCGTATGAAATATCCAGAGGTTTAGGAATCAGAAGTCGAAGAACGAAGGACTCAGACGACGACGGAGTGACGGACAATAATGAAAATGGGATATGTAAACGTACCTTCCCTCTTGAGCTCGATGATATCAAATTTCTCGTCACCTTTTCCGGCCGTGTCTCTTTTACCTTCATCCGGAACCTTCAAAGGCGTATCACAGACGATACACTGCTTTGCCGGCCTAACCAGGGTTTCGGTACACGTCTTGCAGGTGACATGCGCACACGGTTTGGATACTGCAACATGGGGGATCTGTTAGAAATAAAGTGATACGATCAAGGAGGAAAGAAGAATGTCATTGAAATTGGGCTGAATAATAAGACTGGGCAGGAAAAGAAAAAATCCGGTGTGGGGAGAAAGGAGTGATTGTTCAATAGATACAGTGGAGCGACTGAGCAAGCATGAACCAGTCTGTACCAACAGACATAGAGGGCAGATCTTGACCACAAAACAGGAACCAGAAGGAGGGTAGGGAGGAAGCAACGTTTCATGGCGCGCGACTACTCACGATAGATCAATGTATTATTTGACAGCACTTTCTTACATGACGGACATATTGCTTGTTGGTCCGATTCTTTCGAGTTTGATTTACCTGAGCTGTTGGATGTCTCAAAAGTGAACTTGACCGGGACAAGGGATTTCATACTGTATGGAAGGGTAGTGAGCCCGAATTCAAGAAAGAGAAAGAGGAAAAGCAATAGGAAAAAACTTCGCTAATGTCTGAAGAGTCAATATTCTGACTTGAACTCACTTTAGACTATGCCTTGGATTTCCTCCCCTACATGTTGTTTGTAGCTTGACATCTTCCAGGCTCTTTACACTTTCCAAGTCTCCCTTTCCAGTATACGTCGGCGTTAGCGAAGGTAACCAGAAATCCGGTAATTTTGCCTTGAGTGCCTCTCGCTGCTCGACTTCGATTTGACGCAGAGCAGCTTCTTCAGCTTCGAGAGCAAGGCTTTCCACATTCGAAGAGGAGAAGTTGAATTTGCGTTTGAGAGAATCTGACGGATTCGCTGATGGCACTCACAAATCAGCACTTAAATTAGCGTCAATAGATGTATGTACCTTCATTGGCATCGTTCTCCAAGCCTGTTAGAGTCCCAGATCCAGTCTTGGAAGGCTTATTTACACCTAGTCCCAGCTGACCCTTCTCAAACTCTCTGAGAACTCTTTCCCTGGCAGCCAACTTTGCCTTCTCCCTCTCCTCTTTTGCCTCCTTCTTCATCGACTCTAACTTATCTTTCTGCCGCTTGATATCCTTTTTCTGTGTCACTGAATCGATAAGCATTCTAGAGGATATTATATCTAGGTAGAGTCACTCACACAAATCCGTGTAGACACACTCTTTACAGAACAAATGACCCTCATTACATGCTAGAGGTTCTCGAGCTCTGTTCAAACAAAGCGCACAAGCGTCAAAACGCCGCATAGATTCATGTCCAAGACGTTGCTAGATAATCGCGAGATCATTGAATGCCGGATACCCAAAGGGATGATAGAGTCAACAGCGTACCTTCTTGGTGCCATAATCCAACTTTTTATATTCTGCGTAGGAGAATATGGAGGAAGCAGTATTGTTCTTACTGTGCTTCGTCATGACGAGTGAGCTGTCAATTCACTGAGTTATACAGTCTGAGATAAGACGTTCGATGTTGGTAGAAACTTGAAGCTGACGGTGAGCAAGTTTCACGTGTCCACCCAGCGCGCACGGACCTTTATTGAGCAAG